TATATATATATATATATATATATATATATATATATATATATATATATATATATATATATATATATATATATATATATATATATATATATATATATATATATATATATATATATATATATATATATATATATATATATATATTTATATATATATATAATATATATAATTTCTTAAACACATACCGTTTATTTTTTTTGTTTTTCACAGAGCTAACTTTTTTAGTTACTGACCTGGCAACCAGACACCTCAAGACCAAAATGGTTTAAATTGTAACAACCATAATGCAAGAAATCACCCCTGTGACCATCCCATAATCTCTGAAAATTGCAAAGTATTATACAGTACTATCTGTTGATGATTTCAAGGATCAATTTCTCTGTGGCCCAGTCTCTGACCAAGCCTCGTGGTTGCTGGTCTGATCAACCAGGTTGTTTGATGTGCTTGCAGCTTGATACACAAGCCACAGCCTGGTTAATCAGGTATCCTTTCCCTTTCCAATATGCAAAGGATACCATTCAATAAAATGTAAATTCAATGTAAAATTGTAGTACTCATCAAGCTGTAATGTGTTGATCAATTAAGTTGCTCACCAAGCCATGAGTAATTTCTTAAGTGTAGTTATAGGATGAGAGCCACGCTCGCGGTGTCCCATCTTCCCAGCACACTGTCACATAACGATAGTTTTGACCTCCACTGCCTTCTCACTTTACTTGTTCCAACCTTCTACCACTTTGTTTGCGAAAGTGAATTTTCTTGAACATCTTTGGCAACTTTGTTTAGTTAGTTTAAATGTATGACCCATTGTTCTTGAAGTTCCAGGTCTCAGGAATTCTTCTGTCAATTGTATCAATTACTGTTACTATTTTGTACATTGTGATCATATCTCCTCTTTTTTCCTATCTTCTAGTTTTAGCATATTTAATGCCTCTAACCTGAACCTTGTAGTTCTCATCCTTCAGTTTTGGAAGCAATTTAGTTGCATATCTTTGCACCTTTGTCAGTTTGTGGATGTGCATCTTAAGATATAGGCACCATACCACTACTGCATATTCCAGCTTTTGTCTAACAAAGGTTGTGAACAATTTCTTTAGTATATCACCATCCATGTACTTAAAAGTAATTCTGAAATTAGAAAGTGTAGCATAGGCTCCTTGCACAATGTTCTTTATGTGGTCCACAGGTGATAGTTTTCTATCAAGAACCACCCTTAGATCTCTTTCTTTGATTCATTCTTTGTGAATCATCTTTCCGAGTGATGATTCACTTAAGATATTGACATTTTTACATGCTACCGTAAATATTATGTGGTGGGCTTTGGCATATTTGAGCCTACTATAGTTGTGAGAGGCACACACACTACAAAGGCTAACTCCCTCTACTTGCATACTCTTATATACAGTACTTTATTATATTCTCAGCTATGTAAATTATAAGATCAAAATACCTTTGACTTCCACATGAGCAATCATCCAGAAAGTGTTTTATTTTTGTTTTCTCATGCCTTTATCTCGCCCCACTACAAGAGCATATCAACACACCTTAGTCTCATTATCTTCTCTTGTTGCATTGCTATTTATCATTAAGTATCCCATTCAAAGTTCTTAGTCTTCATAATATCATTGGGTTGCCTTTGCCTATACTCAAAATTCATTGCTACTCTACATATATCCACTATGGTTTGCCTTGTCACTGACATAATAACTATGTTTTAAGCCAATGAGGTGAATGGTTATTTTGTATTTTACACACACACTTGAGAGGGGAGAGTGATAACTGAATGCAGACATAACACAAAAATAATGCTGAGTTGTTGTACAGGTGTGAGTTGGGTGCTCAAGTGATGTGGTGTAGCAGATGGGAAGACCTTTGAATCAACTGAGATAGGTTGAAGGAGGATTAGTCAACCAGTCTTAGCAAACAGTGTCCAGTTACCAGGTTTTTGACTATTCTATTTTAACTCGGAGGATTTTTTCTTAAATAAAATTTTAAACATATGTGCTAGGCTTATCTTTACACTTCCGAAAGCTTTACTCACATATTCTTAAACACAAAAAGTTATTTAAAATAAAACACAAGTAAAGACTGAGAACTTTGTGTTGAGTGGTTTATGAACACATGGAAACAGGTCACAAATTACCAGTGGCTAGGGTGATAGCTAAAACAACTTTGCATTTAAATGTCCTTCTAGCTGCCATCACCCAGGTAACTCTAGGCCCTCTTTGTAAGGGACAAAAAGGCTGTTAGGCTTGTCAAAGTCCCTATAGGCTAACTGCTGACTTTCCCCAGGATGCAACCCACAACACCTGACTCAACTGTCACCTGCTTATTTCACTGCTAGGTGAAGAGAGGCATTTAGTGAAAGAAAATGAGCCCCCCAACGTCTCTATCTTGCTTTGGAACCGTTTGCTTGTGAATCAACTGTACCCCACAACCCCTCACCTCACTGTGGATTAACAATGCTATCATTGCCACAGACCATTCTTAATTGAATTCCTACACCTTGAGGTATTACAAATACTAAAAAATAATAGCATTAAACAGTTTGCTAAAATACACATTATAAAACACATTAATGTACAACATTCATTCAACACCAATTAAAAAAATATAAATCTAAGCCATAATTTCAATTTCCCAGAAGCCCGACCTAAGGATTGCACGTGTCAGTAATACTTAAAATAGTAACTAAACATTACTTGCCAATTAATATTTTTGTTTTATTATATCTAATAATTTATAGTTTATTTATTTCCTTAAAAATAGAACTATACAAAATAAATTACAAATACACACTACAATGATTTACCATAAAAACTCAATATTTTATTTTCAGTATAATTGAATTTTCAAATTGCACATTTCTTAGAAATATAGGTTACATACAGATATGCATACTATGTGAATGTATGCATGTGTACATTTGCATATATGCATGCATACATTTGTTATATATGTATATACTGTATGTATATGTTTGGTAATGTGGGTTGCCAGCAGGTACCTTTGTGATATCTGGTAGTGGAGTGCCACCACCAAGTGGTGGTGGCAGAAAGCTTTGGCAATAATTATACTCTAGTTCCAAAGTGGTAATTAGTTTCTAATGTTGCTAATTAGCATTTGAAGTGGGAGGGAGGAAGGGGTGGGGGGTGGGGGGCTGGAGGGTACAGATCCCTACTGCATGCCAGAGCAGATGATGACCCGAGATAAACTTGGCATTGTTTTCGTTACTAATCCTTCACTGATAATACTTTTAGCAAACATTCTTATGAGACTTTTAATAAAGGTCACATGAGACTAGCCTAGTGGCATTATCCTGGGGTACAAATCGCTCTGGCTCAGGGAGCATCCGAGGAACTGGCTCAGAAAGTGGGGCTTCACTACCCTCAAAATCATTCTTATTTTGGCGTGGGTACAGTAGGCATATAGTTGGTGGTAGTGTAGCAGCTGTGTGTGTAATCACCTAAGTGTAGTTACAGGATGAGAACTACGCTCGTGGTGACCCGTCTTCCCTGTACTCTGCCATACAACGCAATAAAACTACTGATGGTTTTGGCCTCCACCACCTTCGCTCGCACGTGCGTGTGTGTAATTACCTAAGTGTAGTTACAGGATGAGAGCTACTCTCGTGGTGTCCCGTCTTCCCAGCACTCTTTGTCATATAACGCTTTGAAACTACTGATGGTCTTGGCCTCCACCACCTTCTCAAGGTGTGTGTGTGTGTGTGTGTGTGTGTAGGTGGGGTGGGTGGGTGGGTGTGTTGGGGGGGGGGAGGGGGGAGGTTCAGTACGCATATGGTTGGTGGTGCAACAACTGCCTGGCTGGGATTGGAGGTTATAGGCGGAAGGAAATCTTGAAGGGAAAATGGGAGGACAATGAGGTTAGGAACTGTTGAGGGAAAGGTTAGGAGTTCAAAGTTATGAGTCAGTTATTGGGGGGGGGGTTGGGGGGGTCACTGGGTAGCCATCTGGAGGCAGTGGGGAGCTGGGGAGAATAGTGGTGTTAACACTTTCGCGCTTTAGATTAGAGATAACTCGTCGCCGTTTTCTCTTACGATTCCGCATAACAGCCTACTTTTCTCGTCCATCGAAAAAATATTTCTATAAATTCCATTTTTTAACCGAAATGGATGGGGATACTTTTGTTTTGTAGAGAATTTATTTGCGAATGTTTTGGTACCAGAATGAATATTATATCACATAAACTTCTATGAGTAAAAAAAAAAAAATACACAAAGTATGTTTGGGGGTGTGGCGAGCGTGTGGCAGTGGGTTCCCTTTAGCCGTTGATATATCCAACACGTGGGAAATATTTGTATGTGTTATGTATATGTCTGTGTAGGGAATTTTACTGATCACTGTCATACAAATTATAAAATGTTTCAACAAGTATAAACATGACAAACATCAAACGAACGAAAACAATGCGTTCGTTTCTGCCGCGAACGCATACTGAGCGACGTGGTTCTATATTTGGCGCTTCTCTTACACATGCTTTGTACAAATGTTATACAGTTCATCTTATAGAAAATTTTATTGCGAACACATTGGTATAAAAAAGAAATACGTACATAGAAAAGTAGGGTCAGGAAACGTATAAACTTTCCAAGCATGATTTCCCCCGTGTTTTCGCCAGTGCGCTCGCGGCTAACTACTCTCCACTTCACACACTCTTGCGGGTGGGCAATTACCTATATTAAACATTCATATGCATATGTCCGTGTAGAGAATTTTATTGCGATTCCAATGATACCAAAATTAGCGATGTAGGACAACTGTAGGCTTCGCAACCATTAAGAGAGTGGAAACATTTTGTTGCTGTTTGGCGCTCTCGGCGAGTGATCTGCATAGTTTTTTATTTGGTGTTGATACTCCTTATGCTTGGGCGGCATTTTATAGGTATGCTCTTATAGACAATTTCATTGCGAACACAGTGATACCAAATTTAAATACGTGCGCCTTCAATTATTGTCAGGACAGTCAAAAGAGTGTACACTTTTCGGTCTTACCGCGTAGGCGCGCGAAGTGCCGAAAGCATCTGGGGTATTGTTTTTTTTTGAGCGCCGAGAGCGCGAAAGTGTTAAGGGGATGGGGGGTGTTGGTGGGCAAGTTGTTGTTGTTGTTTTGGTAGTAAGGCAAGGGATGACAACCACACTTTGTGATGATAATCTCTCATTTCTCTTCTAAGAACTAAACAAAAATAAAATGATACTTGGGTACCTATTCAATAACAAAAGCAAGTTCAATGTAATGATAATCCCTGTACATAAATGTAGGTTTCAAATCGGCAAAGCTTAATTTCAATAGCACCCATATGTTTTGGCTCAAAATTTAATGAAGTTTCAAGTCAGTACAATGTGTGACTTTTACGCTGCATCAATGTTTGATGTGATTGTTCCAGTGTTAGCGTGACCCATGGAGCCATCATCAAGGAGGTGGTACCAACACTTCCCACAGCTATTCTTATAACATTGAATGGAAACGCAAGAAAAGATGAAACAATAAGGTATTCATACTGGGAATAACTACAATAGCACCCATAAAAATAATAATAATAATAATTATTATTATTATTATAATAAATCATAATACAGTAATAATAATTATAATAATAATATAGTAATAATTATAATAATAATATAGTAATAATAATAATAATAATAATAATAATAATAATAATCAGATGTGGCAATACCGAGAAAGAAAGATAATAATACTGACCAATGACCAATGTATATACAGTATTACCAACTTAAACTCAAGAATCTAAATTACAGACATACAGACATGTGGTAGTGTGTGTGTGTTAAAGTTTTGTGTACAGTACTTGTTGCAACAAGAATCGTTTGTAAAGTCACGTATCCTTCACTTGTTCAAATATTTCAAATCAACTTAAAGATATTACTATGACCACTTGATAAAACAAAAAATAAAAGTTATTACCAATATGAATTCCCAATCTGAGGATGACTAATTATGAAGCATATGAATTAATATAATATTAATATAAGCAAGATCAAAGTTTGAAAGTTCACAGAGGGGCAGTTTCTATGTACTGTACATTATTTGAATGGGAAGAAGCAGGAAGTGGTACATAAAGAGAAGTATAACGGCCGCGTATTGTTACGACTGGCAACTAGTGTGTTCAGACTGTAAACACAATAATGTACGGAAGGCCTACCAATTTTGGCGAGTGGGAAAATGTACTTGGTGATAGTTCAACTTATTCAAAGTGACTTAGTATTCAAATAAGTAATTATCAAAAGAAAGTAACAAGTTGGTGTGGTTATAGAGCACTGTTCATTTTAGCTGATGGAGTATTCAAATCCCGAATAAAATAATTTTAAATAGTGACAACCAATAATATTAAATATTAAAGTACCGTACAGAGAAAACCATGACATTTTTGTGATTATAAAATATCTGACTATTCGATGCAACAAATGCATATTTTTTCATTCATTTTACTATACAGAACTACTGGGTACTTGAAATTCTATATAAATATTCTGTATAACCCAAATTCAAAAGACAACTAAACCTTTACTATTAAACAATGCTTATTTTTATCAAACACATTTTACTTTTCAGTGACGTTGTCTTACAACAGTTTGGTCTGGGAATCAATTGTCAAGTGAGGCGAGATGTTTGGAAGTGTTTCCTTACATCCCAATGTGTGTGCGTGTGTGTTTGTCTAGCAGTAAATGAGTACCTGGATATTTGTAGACTGTAGTGGGTTGCATCTCAAAGGTCAGTCAGCTGGCCAAGGGTATCTCAATATACCAAGTACCTTTCCTGTCCCCAACAATGGCAAACCAAACCCCTTAACATTCTAGTAAAGTACACTAATACATATAATTTACGCTGATAATTTATTTTTAAATATTTGTATACAGTTTATAAATGATTTACCTCGCCAATGTAAATTCATCTTTTTTTTTTTTTTGTTAAATTTCTTTATGTAAATTACACAAAAATAAACTAAATATGAAACAAATTATAACACAACAGTTGCCCATATATTTTGGGTATCAATCAAATTATGTATAATAATATTGTACTCATAATTGGTAGAGGTCAAAATGTCAACTTAAAATTGATTTGTAACAATTTAATGTGACTTATTTTAATGCATTTTATCTTGGTGAATGTTGGTCTTTATATGTAAGGAATCTCAAACTTTGATCAGTCATTATATTGCAATTGAAATGTAGTGCAATTAAATTTGCCTCAAAAAGGCTGTGCGTACTATAAAGGAACCTGCCAAGTTTACGTATACTGTATTTATATGGTTAGCTGTAACTTGTGTGTGATCACACTATTATTATAATTGGAGGAGTAAAGTATGAAAATGGGAGACATGTATGGGTAGTCAATAATGGCCTTGTAATGAAGATATACGGTGATGTTAATGTGTGTGTGTATGTGGAGTAGGTGAAGAAGAACCAGTAAAAACACTATTTATGGTAGCATATTGGACAAGGAGATAAACTTAACGTATTACTGGAAAGGTAAGCAATGCATTAGTCTTCACACTCTCTGCCTCACAATTTTAATAACTTTTTTAAATAAAGGCTATGAATGACAAGGATAACTTTGGGGAACCCTATACTAAATAGTAATCAATTCATCCAGTTTTTTTTAGTCACAATTTTCACTGGATTTAAATAATTACTTTCATAATACTGTTTTTTTTCAATAATGTGATGATCATTCTCTACACACTCTACTGGTTTATGAAATTCAAACTTCTGTTTTGCCAATAAAACTGTTAAAGAGTAAGTGCCATGCCAAGATGATAATACAGTATAGCATTGTCTGTACTCTATATATATATTTTTTATAGTCGTATATATTATATACACTTTTTATTTCAGTGACAGGAAGAATTTCAGTGATAGGTCACATTTGTTAAGTGCAGGATTTCTGGTGAGCAGTTAGTAACCAGATCTCTCCCCCCTTCCCAGAGGTTGTGGATTACATTACGAATGATAGCGTAGAAATCCCAGTAAGGAATTTGTTGCTGGAAGATGGGTATGGTAAAGACGATTTCATTGTCCGTGGCGTCTTCGAAAGCTTCCGAGGCAACACCACTACGGCTGGAAACCCATCAACACTCAACTGTCTACTACAGAACCACACCAGACCTAACAAAAAGTTTGATTCTTTTAAACCAATTTATTTCATACAATTTATCAGCCTTGAGATATAATTGTAAAGCAAATTTACTATGTCAATTTTGTTTTTCTGTCACAATTTTGCATGAGGTGTTATCGGCTTTTTCTTATCTACTGGTTTTGGTATATTTAACATTCTCTCTCTCTCTCCTTGCTCTTGTACTTTAGGTCCAAGGGGCCCATTTTATAGCATGTCTAAATCTATTTAATTTGTATGAGTATACAATTACCCAAGGGTATATATACTGTACCTAAATACAGTATAGCATATAGTAGTGTCTTGTCTTCCATATAGTTTTTGTAATATGAAGTTTCCCATTTTTAAATGGTTATGGCATACACACAGTATACATTTATGTATGTGTGTGTATACATATACACACATTATTTATACATGTATATATGTATGCATGAATGAATGAATGAATGAATGAATGAATGAGTGAATGAATGAATGTTGTGTGTTGTTGGTACTTGTGTTGCAAGGGCAGTATTCTACTTTATGTAAGTTAAAAGAACATATTTTATCTTAAAAATTTTGTGTCCACTACCTTTTGGTAACTTTTGTGGAGAAGAGGAAGACATTCCCTTTGCTGGTGTATATTAGGCAGTCTGTTCTATATTTGTTAAAAACAAAATACACATTCTAGTTTTCATAGTTCTAAGCCATAAATATTTGAACTTAGTAATGTGGAAGGTGCATGTAGTGTCACATTGTTCTCTAGTTAAACAAAGCCAACACATTCATCACTCATTACAAAATACACAATTCATAAAGTTTCAAAAACTGTACTACATCTAAATCCTTAAATTAGTCTTGAATTTAAATCATAAGAAGCCGGGCTTTACAAATAGCAAATATAAATCTTGTTAGTTAAATATAAAACCTGAAAAATGAATAAACACACATGAAAGTGTCACAAAATTCTTATCAAATATGTCATGACTACATTTGCTTTCGGTATTCTCAACAGACAAAAATTATTGGGACCTTAAATTTATATATTAATAAAAACAATTATCTTGCTCATAAAATAATGGCAAATAAAACACCTGCACTCACAACTGGCATAAACACCTGCACTCACAACTGGCATAAACACCTGCACTCATAACTGGCATAAACACCTGCACTCACAACTGGCATAAACACCTGCACTCACAACTGGCATAAACACCTGCACTCACAACTGGCATAAACACCTGCACTCACAACTGGCATAAACACCTGTACTCACAACTGGCATAAACACCTGCACTCACAACTGGCATAAACACCTGCACTCACAACTGGCATAAACACCTGTACTCACAACTGGCATAAACACCTGTACTCACAACTGGCATAAACACCTGCACTCACAACTGGCATAAACACCTGCACTCACAACTGGCATAAACACCTGCACTCACAACTGGCATAAACACCTGCACTCACAACTGGCATAAACACCTGCACTCACAACTGGCATAAACACCTGCACTCACAACTGGCATAAACACCTGCACTCACAACTGACATAAACACCTCCACTCACAACTGGCATAAACACCTGCACTCACAACTGACACAAACACCTGTACTCACAACTGACACAAACACCTGTACTCACAACTGGCACAAACACCTATACTCACAACTGGCATAAACACCTGCACTCACAACTGGCACAAACACCTGTACTCACAACTGGCACAAACACCTGTACTCACAACTGACACAAACACCTGTACTCACAACTGACACAAACACCTCCACTCACAACTGGCACAAACACCTGTACTCACAACTGGCACAAACACCTGTACTCACAACTGGCACAAACACCTGTACTCACAACTGGCACAAACACCTCCACTTACAACTGGCACAAACACCTGTACTCACAACTGGCACAAACACCTGTACTCACAACTGGCACAAACACCTCCACTCACAACTGGCACAAACACCTCCACTCACAACTGGCATAAACACCTGCACTCACAACTGGCACAAACACCTGTACTCACAACTGACACAAACACCTCCACTCACAACTGGCACAAACACCTGTACTCACAACTGGCACAAACACCTGTACTCACAACTGGCACAAACACCTGTACTCACAACTGGCACAAACACCTCCACTTACAACTGGCAAAAACACCTGTACTCACAACTGGCACAAACACCTGTACTCACAACTGGCACAAACACCTCCACTCACAACTGGCACAAACACCTTCAGTCACAACTGGCACAAACACCTCCACTCACAACTGGCATAAACACCAGCATTTACAACTGGCACAAACACCTGTACTCACAACTGGCACAAACACCTGTACTCACAACTGACACAAACACCTGTACTCACAACTGGCACAAACACCTCCACTTACAACTGGCACAAACACCTGTACTCACAACTGGCACAAACACCTCCACTCACAACTGGCACAAACACCTCCACACACAACTGGCATAAACACCTGCAGTAATATTAATATAAAACCTGTCAGCCTGAGGCAACACCTTGCTTTCTACTGGTATGTTCAGTCTAAAGTTTCTTCTTATCTTAAATCGTTACTGTAGAGTACGGTAGTCACATGAAGTCATTTGTTCCGTCTTCATCAGAGCTACTTACACGTTGATCAAGATAAATAAATCACAACTTTACATTCTTAAAATGTGTTAATCATGGCCACTCATGAAATACAAATAGTTTGTGTTATACAACTATAAGTTATGTCATTAGTCTTTTTTGTTTATGTAATATATGTGACTCATGAATATAATTTTGATGCACATTAAAAAAAACAGTCCAGAAATATAAAGATCCATACTAAAGCCAGATAACATAATAGACATAGCATCACTTGATTGTTTCAAATGTACGTTAGACATATAGATGAATGAGTTTGATTGGACATAAATAGGAGCTGTCTCGTACGGGCCAATACGCAGTCTGCAGTTCCTTTAATTCTTTTGTTCTTAACCAAGCTTCTCTAAGATCTTACAAGACAACTCACATCCATTGACATCTCTCAGGCCTTAGTAGTCATTAAATATTGTGTGTATACTGTATTTAAAACAAAACTACAAATTGTGAATTTTAAATACTCAATAAACCTTGACTTAGCTTTGCCAGTCCACAGATATATGGATTCATTTAATTTTCTTTGATTTGTTCTTTGATATAGTGGCTAGCAGTAATAGCTGAAGAAAATACAGAGCAAGCAAAGTTTTGCTCAATAGCTTTCCTTTAAGTAACAATTAGGAACTTATCACTTCCTGCAGCTGATAATAGGCTTCATGAACACTTAGGTTAATCTAAAAATGGCAGATCTGAGCATCAACATATCACCAATCCTTGAAAGCAAAATACCAAATTGAAGTTCACACCCTTCAACACTAACTGACCCACCAACTACACACACTAACACAGCACCATCAGCTCACAACACCACAAATGTACACCTTAGTACGTTTTAGTAACAATTACTTGCTTATAAGGTACTACACATTTTTTGTAAATAGAGGCCTAAGAATAATAGCTCTTTTCAGCAATTTATTATAAGAGATTATATTAAGTTCTAGATAGCTTAGTCCACTCTTTAACCAAAGTGATTTGAATAATCCAAAAATTACTAATTATAACAAATATATAGCTGAAGCAGACCAAATAAACACTGCATACAGAATATGATATCATGTTTCAACTGATGAGAGACACTATAAATGATCACCAAGATGTCATGCTGATCAGCATGACATAACATAACTCTACATCACAGGAGCCACAATTATTCTCATAAATGGGTTATTTTCATGATTTCATGCAGCTACAAAAGTATCAAAATCTTCCAAACATCCATTACGTCTGCTAGAAAAGCTTAGCTATACATTATAGTTACTCTATGAAGACCAAGAATCAGCACAAATACTTTTTATGGAGTTCGCTTACTAACATAAGTTTTTGCTGGCACTTATTTCAGCTAACATGAGTCAACAAAACTAGCAGGAAAAAGACCAGTCTTGCCCGTCCGCTGAAGAGTTCCTTTATACCAACCATCGTCTCGTTTCTTGTGGACATAAATTATATCACCCAGCTGCAACTCTAGTTCATATTCACTGTTTGGAGGATATGGCACTATGCAGCGGAATCTGTAACAGGAGTAAATATCTAAGTTTGTGACCTGTACATCAGCCACAAAAACTGTATTTAGTTTAAATATCACATGCAATCATTATGGTAATCTGTGAAAAAAACCAGCGTTGAATGTAATGAAACACCATTTTCTGGGCGAATCCCGGAGGCTCCCCGGAGCTATCCCAGGCTGATATGCTAATGTCAGACTTTGGCATGTGTATGGAGTTCTTAGGCCTACCGGGGACCATGGCCAGAACCAGGCCCTCCCCTCAGAGAGGCAAGGGAAGCAATGGCCTATAGAAACCCCCGTATAGTTGGAAGCATTCTATGTCTGCCATCGACCGGATCAGGCACCCAGAAAGATAAGCGCCCCAAAACAAACCCCTATTCTGGTTAAAATTGCTACCAAAAGCCAAACTAGTGGATAGAACTCCCCAACAGAAAACGAGCTAACTAGTATGACGTCACACGTTGCCGTGCCACTGTCTGCACAGCTCCCCCCTTCCCGGGAGGGGGAAGGGGGAGCTCCAAACCCTTCACGCAGGCTACCCACACCTCAGTTCTGAGGCTGGATGTCAAAAACACGAAAAACCGCCGACCAGAGGGAGGGAGGGATGTCGGGGAGCCTCCGGGACTCACCCAGAAAATGGTGTTTCATTACATTCAATGCTGGTTTTCTGGGGGGAGCCCGGTCAGCTCCCCAGAGCTAACTACCCACAGACGGAAGAAAAGAGAGACTTACCCGGGAGGCAGTCATTGCTCACTCCTCAACTCGAAGTCGAGACAAGTGGGTGCAACCACCGACCAAAAGCAATACAGGCCCGACGGGGCCCAGGGACATTCACGAGGTAACGAGCAGCCAGGACCCTGTTTGACCGCCAAAAACCCCGCGCCCGAATATCAGACCAAGACATATTCCCAAAGACGGCAGCAAGAGCCGCGAACTTACGGACGTCATGGGCACAGGGATAGACCACAGGCTAGCTGGATTTGATAACCCTGCGAACGACCTGGGAGACCCAAACCCGCAAACAGGAAAGAAGGGAAACCGGATCAACTCAAAGCACGCAAATAACGGCGAAGAGCCGCAACTGGACACAAAGCATGATGCACCCCCGGCCGTACCAACCAAGCATCAACCACCCATCGACCCCTCCGGAACACAGCAGTCTCATTCTTCTCCAGAAAAGGAGACGGCTGCAAGCGAACAAAACAATCTCCATGACCGAAAGAGCAGAAACCCCTGTGCCGTAGGAGAGCATGAAGCTCCTCAACCCAACCTCCAGAGGTTAATGCCAACAAGAAAAGAGCCTTGGAGAAACAATCCAGGACCGAAGGGACCACAACAAAACAAGGAGACGAAAGGTAAGCGAAAACACTGTCCAAAGACCAGAACGGCTCAGGTGGCGCAGACGTAACATCGATACCGAAGGCAAGCTGAAGCGGCTCCGCCAGCGCCGCACGATACGAGGCGACAGTGTTAGGCGTAAGATGATAGTCCTGAAACAACCAAGAGAGAAAGGACAAGACCATCCTAACAGACATTGAACTAACACGATGAAGACGCAAAAAGAAACAGAAGAACCGCCAGGAAACTTCATACTGCCGCCGAGAAGAAGCCCTCAGGTGGGACACCAACAAGGAGGCTACCTGAGCACCATAGAGATGATGATAGATTCGAGGAGAAGATCGAACCAGCCACGTGACGCACTGGCCCGATCTGCTGAAAGAGGCAGAGCCGCGGGAAAACCCTCAGGTTCGGACACCGAGCAAGCAGCGCCTGAAACCAAGGCTGGGCCAGCCACCAAAGGGCCAGAAGGACAACTCTCCCCTGGTAAGTCTCCAAGAGAGTCAGGACCTGGAGCAACAGCTGCACCGGTGATAAGAGGTACAGGAACCCCCACCTCGACCAGTCCAGCCGAAAGGCATCGACCCCGACGGCCTCGCGATCAAGGAAGGGCGCTGCATACACGGGAAGGCGCCTCGATCCCGCCGACGCGAAGAGGTCCACCTCAGGGCGCCCGAATGTCTGGCAAAGCCAACGGAAGGAAGTGTTGTTGACCATCCACTCAGTGGAGAGGGGAACGAATTGCGACAGGCCGTCGGCCAAGACATTGGACACTCCCTGCACGTGAACCGCCAGGAGAGCCAAACCCCGAGAACTCAGCAGACTAGCCACCCGAAGCGACCAACGCCAAAGAGACAAGGACTGCATCGAACCACCACCGGAGTGCAGTCCAAATGGAGCCGAATCGTCGATCCGCGGGTGACCCGAATCCTCCGTAGAGCAATCAACACCGACGCGAATTCCCGCATCGTGCTGTGAGCTCCACGGAAGGACGAACCCCAACCGGATCAACTCTGTGACCAGTGCTCACCAGGCCGTGGTAAGCACTGGTCACAAAGCCCCAACCGAGAGATGACGCATCCGTGTACACATCGTGCAAGGGCTTGGGTAGGTCCCAAAGCACTGAACCCCAAAAAACCCGAAGAGGAAACCAGCGACACAGCAGCCGACGCAAGGCACCCGGGGGTCGAACCCAGCGATTGCGAGAGGCAGAAAGGGTGACCCCGAAGGAACCAGAACAGCCGACGAAGCCAAACCCGACCCGCCGGGTTGATACCTGGTTACCTGGTTGATGGGGTTCTGGGAGTTCTTTTACTCCCCAAGCCCGGCCCGAGGCTAGGCTTGACTTGTGAGAGTTTGGTCCACTAGGCTGTTGCTTGGAGCGGCCCGCAGGCCCACATACCCACCATAGCCCAGTTGGTTCGGCACTCCTTTGAGGAAACAATCTAGTTTCCTCTTGAAGATGTCCACGGTTGTTCCGGCAATATTTCTTATGCTCACTGGGAGGGTGTTGAACAACCGTGGACCTCTGATGTTTATACAGTGTTCTCTGATTGTGCCTATGGCACAATCAGGACAACCCTATCAGGAGAACCATTAGAGCCAAAATCCAGGTGCCAGAGGAGGGCATGAAGCACTTCGACCCGACCCCCAGAGGAAAACAAGAAAGAACAAGAAAAGAAGGCTCCAACAAGAAAAGAGCCTCGGAAAACAACTCGGAACCGAAGGGGCCACAACAAACCGAGAAGAAGAGAAAAGAGCAAGCAATCCAAGAACCAGGACGGCTCAAGCGACGCAAAAGCAGGCCGGAGATGAACCATGCCAGAGTCGGATCGCGAAGCAGTGCAGAAGCAATTCCAAAACTGAAGCAACCCAGAGCGGCTCCGCCAGTGCCGCACAAGACAAGGCGACAGTATGTGGCAAGATGACAGCCCTAAGCCTCTACAAGAGAAGGACCAGACCATGCCAAGAAAACATAGCAAACTGACGAAGGGACAGAAAGAAAAAGGAAGGACCACCAAAGAAAACCTCACACCACCGCCAAGACGAAGCACGCAGGTGGGACACCATCAACGAACCCACCTGACCACCAATAGATGGTGAGATACTCGAGGCAGAACCGAACCAGCCCCTCCATGGACCGATCGAGCATAGGAAGAGGTGGAGCTGCGGGAAAACCTCGGGTGTGACTAACGAGCAAGCAGAGCCGGAACCCAAGCCAGCAAGGAATGAGAAGGAACGTCTGCCGTACAGAAAACTTCCCAATGCTAGCGAGCTCGCCAGGAGATCAGAGACACCGCGGTTCCGATGCGAGACTCATGAGAAGTAACACCGCGAGATCCGGAAAATGCCAACTAGCAGGGTTAAGCCAGGAAACCAGGAACTCAAACCTGGCAAGCCAGGAAAGAACCAAACATAGGGGCAGTTCAAAAGCAGGGAACTGAACATGGACCAACCCCAACCTAACAGTAGGAGAGCCAAGAAGCACATACTAAACCACATAACAATGTGTAAAGAGAGGGGCAAGGTAACATTACAACTACAGTATTACATTCCGTGACACTTAGTTATCACAACACAAAGAGACAAAGCTTAACCCCTGCAAGCACAACTAGGTGAGTACAAACAAGTACAAACTAACTTCTTAAGGGCTTCTCACAGACGTCAAACCCTGATGAGTAACCTACACGCAAAACAACCCAACTACCCCTCACATATTACCCTGCAGGTCAAATGACCTGAATTGGATATAATATAACAAGCCATACAGACTACAGACTAGAAAAACTGCCCCAGCACCAGCAGCTAGGGACAAGAGCGTAGAAGGAAGATGAAGAACGAGGAAGACAGGCAGCAACGGGAATGAAAAGGACAGGACCAACAACACACAAAGACTATGTCGATGACAGGCGATTGACAGTCGAGAGGCCTCGTAGCCTGGTGGATAGCGCACAGGACTCGTAATTCTGTGGCGCGGGTTCGATTCCAGCACGAGGCAGAAACAAATGGGCAAAGTTTCTTTCACCCTATGTCCCAGTTACCTAGCAGTAAAATAGGTACCTGGGTGTTAGTCAGCTGTCACGGGCTGCTTCCTGGGGGTGGAGGCCTGGTCGAAGACCGGGCCACGGGGACACTAAAAGCCCCGAAATCATCTCAAGAAGGCGGAACTGAAGAGCCAAAGGTCAACCCCCCGCAAGGACAACTAGGTAATTACCTAAGTGTAGTTACAGGATGAGAGCTACGCTCGTGGTGTCCCGTCTCCCCAGCACTCTGTCATATAATGCTTTGAAATTACTGACGGTTTTGGCCTCCACCACCTTTTCGCCTAACTTATTCCAACCGTCTACCACTCTGTTTACAAAAGTGAATTTTCTTATATTTCTCCAGCAGCTTTGTTTCATTAGTTTAAATCTTGTTCTTGAAGTTCTGGGTCTCAGGAATTCTTCCCTATCAGTTTTATCGATTCCTGTTACTATTTTGAATGTAGTGATCATATCACCTCTTTTTCTTCTATCTTCTAGTTTTGGCATATTTAATGCCTCTAACCTCTCCTCCTAGCTCTTGTCCTTCAGTTCTGGGAGCCACTTAGTGGCATGTCTTTGCACCTTTTCCAGATTGTTGATGTGCTTCTTAAGATATGGGCACCTTACAACCGCTGCATATTCC